GCAATCCCACAGACTTTAACAAGATAACTAGTGTCACGAAAACACTGGCTTTTGATATATTTGTTAAAGAAGCAATTAGGTAGTACATCAAGATCTCAGTGTATTATTGTATATAAAATAATTTCAATAAAGAGATAATCAAAGGATATCACAATGAAATGACATGTTAGAAGTTAGATATAACCCAATGAAAATATTGATAAAGAAGTAAAAGATAGCCAGACATGGTGTCACATTCCTGTAATCCCAGCAGTCAGAAGGATGAGTCAGGAGGGACTGTTGTGAGCTCAAGGTAGCCTGGACCACACAGGGAAACTCTCAAAATCACCCAAACAAGGGCCAGGAATTTAGTTCAGTGGTTCCGCCGCCTGCCTTGCAAGCACAAGGTCCCGAGTTCAATCCCTGGTACCAAAAAACAAACAAACAAACAAAAAACACCCAAACAAAACAAAACAAAAAAGAAATGTAGACAGTCTTAAGAGGTTGGATTCACAATTTAAACACAAGGAAAATTCCAAAATTCACTACTGAATTCTACCCAACACTCAAGAAAGAAAGCCTATCTTAGGCAAATGAATTATAAGTAAATGATATAAGTCAGGGAGTTATACTTAACATGCTACACTTTTTTACACAATATATTTCTGAAATGGAGCAAACTAAGAATGAAGAACTTCTTTAATATGAATGAGAAGTATCTACAAAAAGTCTATAGCAAACATCATATCTGGTAGAGAAATTCTGATAAACATCCCTTAGAATCAAGGATGTCCATTGTCAACATTTTTATTCAATAATATGGTACCTAGCAAATAAAGAAATGAATATTTTTAAATACAACTGAAAAGGAAAGAGTAGGACCAGGTATTTAGCTCAGTGGTTCTGCCGCCTGCCTTGCAAGCAAAGGACCCAAGTTCGATCTCCAGCACCAAAAAAGGAAAAAAAAAAAAAAAGAAAAGGAAAGGTAAAACTCTCATTATCTGTTCTAATGATATGATTATGAATGTAGAAAATACAGGAATATATATAAATTATTAGAGTTAGCAAATTAATGAGTGGGGTAGTTGAATATAATGAGCAAAACTGATTGCAATTTTAAGAGAGAAACAAAAATTAAAAATAAAAAAACTTGGCATGGTGGTGCACACTTGTAATCCCAGGACTCTGGAGGCTGAGGCTAGAGGATCACTGAGAGTCCAGGGCCAGCCTGAACTACACAATGAGACCTTATCTCAAAAAACCAAACCAAAACAAAACCCTAATCCTCCTCCCAAAGGTGTACAAGGTCTATATGGAGAAAATTTTATTTTCAAAAGAAATGAAAGATAAGCCCAAATAAAACCCTGGCCAAAGATTTTTTTTTCCTTAACCAACAAGCTGATTCTAAAATATATATGGAAAAATAAAGGAAAGGAATATGATGTTTTTGAAGAAAGGGGAGAAAGGACTTGATTTCCTGGGTATCAAGACTTGGTAAAACCACAGTAATTTAGAATATTGTAGTACTGTCATGAAGATAGACCAATGGGAAAAAATAGAGGGCCCAGAAACAGACTTTTGAGTATATCAACACTATTTCTGCCACAGATGGCACTGTAGAGTGTTTTGTTTTAAAAATCATACTAAAATACAAAAATAAAGGGTGAATTCAATTTTGCCCCACACGTGAAACAAATGCCTACCAGAAAATAGATCTGAACGCAAAAGGCAAATTAACAAAGCTCATACGAAGAGCATCTTTATGACCTGAGTAAGGATCAAAAGCATTAAAAGGAAAATACTAAAAGATACCATCAAAAGTGGCACAGTGAAAATTTCTGCAACATAAATAACTACCAAATGGTCAGTATGTTATCAGTATAACGAAAGCCTGTATATCAAGTAGAAAAACAAAACATCCAAACACCAGACAAGCTCTTCATAAAATAATATTTAAATGGCCAAAACCATATCAAGTAATGCTCAGAAAAGAAGGAGAAATGATAAAAAGAAACCAAATAGAAAAATATAATAATTGAAATTAAAAAAGACAATAATTGCAATGAAAAATTCATTGAAAGGGTTCATCAGAAATTTGAGGAGGCAGAAAGAAGAATCACTAAGCTTGAATACAGGTCCAGTGATATTATCAGCCTGAGTTGCAGAAAATAAAAAGAATGAAGAAAAATGGATAAAAATAGCCTCAGAGACCTGTGATTCTCCAGCAAGTATACCAGCATACAAATAATGGGAGTCCCAGGAGGAGGGAGGGGCTGAAGGAAGGTAAGGGGAAGAAGAGAAAGGTATAGAAAGAATGTTAGAAAAAATAATGAAAACTTACCAAATTGAATGAAAAATAATTGCATACATCCAAGAAGCTCAACTTGCTCCAAATAGGATAGACTGAAAATATACCTCAACATATTATATTTAAACTACCAGAAGAATCTTGAAACCAGCACTAGCCATGTCACCTCTCCTGTAAAGGGATCTTTCCCTGAGATTACATCTAGAAGCTAAGGCAGGAAGACTGCAGTGAGTTTGAGGCCAGCTTGGACTACACAACCAAGTTCAAGATTAGCCTGTATGACATAGTGAGTCCTTTCTCAAAAAAAAAAAAAAAAAAGAAAAAAGAAAAATTACATCTAATTTCCCATCAGAAACCATAGAGGCCAAACATTATGGGAAAAGATATTCAAGATGCTGAAAGAAAATCTGTCATACAAAAATTCTATATCCACCCCCTTCTGTTTCTCTTAGACAGAAGCTATCTTTCTCTCAATAAATTTTTCCTACTCTTAAAAAAAATTCTATATCCAGCAAAACTATTCACCAAAAATGAAAGAGAAATTCATATATCCTCTGATACTTTGTAGCTGGAAGAATCAATCTGCCAGAAATACTAAAAGGAGTCCTTCAGGCTTAAAGGGAAGGGCACTGGGCACTAACTGGAATCCACACAAGAAACAAAGAGTATGCAGGTAAATATGAAAGACAGTATCAGGGTATTTTTTTGTCTTCAAAAGCCTATTTTTCCTCCTGAAACAAAAGGTCAACTGCCAAAAAATGTAACTGTAAATCTGTCTTGGTGGATATATAAGATATAAAGGTAAAAAGTGTATGATAGTGTAAGGGAAGGGGGAATGAAGATAATTTTTTTTTTTTTTTGGTGGTACCGGGGATTGAATTCAGGACCTTGCCATTGTGAGGCAGGTGTGGCGCCACTGAACTAAATCCCTGTCCCTGATAAGTTTTATATACTATGAAATTAAACTGGGACTACTTCAAACTAGACTGTCATAAATTAAGGTATGTAATCATCAGGATAAACTCAAAATAACTAAAAAATATACAGTAAAATAAACAAGAAAATTAAATGATTCACTAAAAATATCTATACAAAGGAAGTCAGTAAAAGCAGGAATTAAAGAATACAAAAAGATACAAGGCATATAGAAAGAATAGGAAATGGCAGATATAAATCCTGCTTCATTAATAATTACATTAAACATAAATGGATTAAACTCTCCAACTGAAAGTCACAATGGAAAGCCAGATCATATCCAATTCTCCTTTCAGATCTTTCCTGGGTCCCAGGGATTCACTTCCCTTGTTCTTTTCTTTCCCAAGTTGTTATATCCCAGTGTCTCAATTCTGAATCTTGGAGAGGCTGGTTTACTGCTGTTTACTGCTCCGCCATCTTCCTGGAGGTCATATATACTAATAAATATTCGTCAAAACAGGAACCCTCACGCTACTGATGGGGGCATAAAATTACATTACTTTTAAAGTAATTTGTTTAGAATTATCAGATGAGGTAAAGATACTACATCTGATGAGCCAGTAGTTCCATTTATGGTTGTATACACAATTTAAATGTGTGTATACAAGTGCAAGAATGTTTACAGTACTATCATCACAGAAGTAAAACAGGCCACACATGGTAGTATAGGCCTGGAGGATCACTTAATCCAGGAGTTCAAGACCAGCCTGGGCAAGATAGCGAGGCCCCATTGGAAGGAAGGAAAGAAGGGAGGGAGGAAGAAAGGAGAAACTCAAATGCAGAATAGATAAATAACATGGAGGAATCACACAACATAGTGCTAAGCAAAAGAAGTTAAGATTACAAAGAGTACATCTTTTATGATTCCACTGAATTAGTAGAGAAAAAAATAGGTAAACTTGACTGTTGCATTTAAGCATATATGCTTACACAGCAAATCTCTATAAAGAAAAGCAAATGGAGTGATTGCCATAAAAATCAGGATACTAGATACTTTTGTTAAAGACGAAGGATGGCTTCCAAAATTCTAGTTCTTGTGGTTTATAGGCATTTGTTTTATAGTAATTCCTTGATGTAAATGAATATGGATGTAATTGTGTTTTTTGATTTGTGTATTCTTCTTTATGGATACTATACATTTCAATGAAGGTTTAAAGAAATTTGAAGGTAGACTTAAGCAAAACAAAATGCTTAACATATATGTGAATCTATACAAACTACAATCTGACCTCCAAATAAATGCTTGGCATTAATAAACAGTGATTGAGCTATCTTTAAATAAACTATGGCTTCTGACATATTGTAGACTGTAAATCCTGAGGTATTTAGTTCTTAAAGCAGAAAAACAAATTGACTCTAGCAGGCAGAGAAACTTATGAGATGAAGTTGAGTACCAAATCAAAAGATGAGGTAATGCAGGCCAGGGACTTAGCTCCGTGGCACCGCGCCTGTCTCGCAAGTGCAAGGTCCTGAATCCAATCTCCAGAATAAAAAAAAAAAAGATAAGGTAATGCTTCAGGAAGACAGCAACCTCTTTCCATCTCTCCCCCTAACCAACGCCAGGTCCCTGGCATTTTTCACTACTGATATGCCCACTTGAAGTCAGATATGCCTCATGATCTCTCATACACGCGCTCCTTTCTGTGAAACAAAATTGACACTGTTCTGAGAACTGATTTTCTGAAACAACATTGTATACCATCATGGAAACTGTTAACCATAAAAAATGGTCACTTACTTGATCCAGATTTGAAAGGCTGTTGGGATCCTGACTCAGACCTTGGTACTGTCCCCTGAGTCTGTCTCCAGCAGCTATTTTCCTAAACTTCTTCAGATCCACAATGTACAATGCACTGAACAGAGAAGACCTATTTGTTACAACCATCCATGGATTTATGGCAGGAAAAGCTAACCCCGCTGAATAATGGACTAGGCCACTAGCCAAATATTCTGGTTCTCTTTGAAACTGTGAGCTGTAGCCTACAGTAAAGTTAAAGGTCAGTAGGTACTACTTCAAAGATGTCTATGAAGGCTGTGGTTCCTGTGCCTGCCTCGCAAGCGCAAAGACCCGAGTTCAATCCCCCGTACCAAAAAAAGATGTCTATGAAAGTTACTGTGAAATCCATATTCTGTCACTACTAGATTACTGCAGACACTGTTTCTTATTTCATTGCCTTCCAAGGAAATAATCTCTGACAAAAGACTTCCAGCAAATGCAGTAGTTTTGGTAATAAAGGTACAGTAATTAACAAATAATTATTAGTCAGAGACAACCCTGATAATGTCTTTAAATATCACAGGAGTGAAAACCTCACAGTGTTAAAAGTTCTTTTAGACCAGGACATAAAGTATGAAGCTGAAATCACATCTCATCATTTATTTTGTATATGTCACTTCCTACAAGTACGATAGCCTCCATAACGTCCAAATTATACATCTCCCAGAAAAGACAATGAAATAGTCATTAAAAATGCAGTACACACTGTTAAACCTAAGAGATCTACATCTAGGAATTTATCCTACAAACATGCCTGAAAAATATGCAAAATAATACATTAATAATCATTCCTTGCAATAGTGTATCAGAGCAAAAAGACAATAAATAATACATTGGAATAACATGCAGCTGGAAAAAGAAATAAGATTCCTCTATATCTACTGATAAAATCTAGAATTAAAATATTAAGTTACAAAAGAGTATAAAAAGGATGGTATATTTTGTATAAAAAAGAAAACATTCATTACACATTCTTAGCTGTTTATGTAAGAAACTCTGGAAGGACATAAAGTAAATAAGTGGGGGAAATTATCTGTTTAAAGAAGACAGATTTTGTTTTATATATTTATTTATTTTTGAGACAGGGTCTTGCTATGTAGTCCAGGCTGGTCTTGATCTCACTATATAGTCCAGGCCAGCCTCAAACTCACAGCGATCATCCTATCTCAGCCTCCTAAATGCTGGGATTACAGCCATGTGCCATCACACCTGGCGCAATGTTTATTTTTTATAATTTTCATTTCTAAGTCATAGTATAAACTACTCATAATTTTAAATGCACAAAATTAAAATTAAAAAAAAAAACCCAAGTCATTGGGAGTAATCCTTTTCCAGTACTTACCTGATGTGGTACTTCCGCCCAGCTAAATGACTGGCCCAGTATCCTGATTTCCAGAACCTGTAGCCATCCATTTCCCTTCGGCTGTCACAGAAGGGGGTATAACCATAAGGGGCACCATCCAAATTGAAATCCCTTAATTCTTTCAGATCTGTCCGTACAATCTGGAAAAAGGAATATCAAAAGTCATTTTTCAATTTATCCTGCTGACAGTTCTAACATAATTTCCTTAAAATACAAAATACATCACGAAAGCCCTCGCTAACACTTAACCTAACACGTGGCACAGAATTCTAAGTATTCAACAGGAGTAGAAACAAAACAAACTTCAATTGCTTAGGTTAACCCTGAGTTTCCTCATCTGCAAGATGGAGACAAGAGTACCTATTTCAGAGTTGTTGGGAGGATGAGGCAAGTTCACATGTGGACAGATGTGGAACACTGCCTCAGCCACTGTAAGTCCTCAAAAAAGAGTAATAAGGCCAGATGAGAATCAGGAAAGCATGCTTCAGGTTAAGCCACTTGAAGCAGGGGATTCCAAAGAGTTGGGTGAAGCTCTGTCCAGGTGACTTCTACACACATTACACTGCTTCCACTCAGGGAGGGTGAGACAGGAGGCTTGAGGGTAGAAGTACATATATATGTTTGAGTCTGAAGGCTCTAAAGTCAAAATGCATTACTTGTAACAACATCAAATCCTGGCAACCAGAAGCTACCTGCAGCATTCCCGATTACCAAGCCAAGAATCACTTGCACTATTCATCTATCACCCAATAATACCTATATTTTGGGCATATAATTGGAGAGGACGGGAAATATTACTAAACCTTAATTTTCTAATTCTAGTCTTTATATTTAATGAAGTAAGTAATCTACAAGACTGCAAACACAATGTCATCACAACCTAAAGGACAGAAAAAAATGAAAAGGAAGCATACTAAATGTAAATTAAATTTTAAAAGTGATCTAATTGGTGTGATATCTTTCCATATTTTCTAAATAGTGTAAAATGAGCAGGTACTTTTCCATAAATGGAAAAACAACACTTAGAAAGTTTGCTGCCTTTAAGATATATTAACGAAATATGGCCTTTAAGAGCTTACCTGATCAGCATCCACAAATAGGAATTTGTCAACAGCTAGTGGAAAAAGTACATCCAGGAAGAGGATCTTGTAGCCCCAGATGATGCGCTGTTTTTCAGTCTGTTGATGAAGCCACCGGGGCCATTTGTATTGAACAAGCTCATAATGGAAATTGTATTCATTTGCCATGTAAGGTATAAACTCCTAAGTTTAGACACAGGAAGAAACAATTGTTCATTCTGATTAAGAAAACTGACTCATAATGTAAGTCAACCACCATGATTATGATACAAGTAAAGCACATTCACCAAAACAATCATCTAACAAATAATGGCCTTAACTCAAATGCCCTCTTCTTTAGGACTTTCTGGTCACATGAAATGACAGAAATCTATAGGTGAAGGCCTTTACATCTATAATTCTGTGTGTGTGTAAGACACGTGAACTTTAAGTCCATTTGTCTAAATTTGATTTCAGTAAAACATTTCTTGAATTTAGTTATAAGCCTTTCTCAATTTTTTTTTTGGTACCGGAGATGGAACTCAGGATCTCATGCTTGGGAGGCAGGTGCGGTATCACTGAGCTAAATCCCCAGTGCCTTTCTCAAGGTTGGGTCTAACCCAGGGAACAACATAGCAAAGCCAAAATACTCTTGACAGACTTGCTGTCATTAATGAATAAATTTCTCATGTTCTAAATGAAAGTCCCTTTCGGGTACCAGAAGTGAATTAGTGATATAAGAGAGATACTACTGAATACATTAAAAGTTGTTCAGTAACTTTTGCAGAGGGAAAAAAATCAATTTAGATAATAAAACCTTGCTGATACAAATAAAGAAGAAAACTTTTCAAGTGTGTTTTTGCTTTGCACAGATGAAGCATCATTTGGTATTGGTTCATGAGAACTAATCATTCTCCTCAACCTACACTATCACAATGCTTTTTAAAGACATTCATGCTTCAGAGGTAAGAGTGTTACTTCATTAAAACATTGCTTGTGGGGCCGGGGAATTAGTTCAGTGGCTCTGCCTGCCTTGTAAGCATAAGGTCCCAAGTTCAATCCCCAGAACCAAAAAAAAGAAAAACAAACCCCCAAAATATTGCTTCTTACAAAGATACAGACCTTCTCCTATATTATTAAAGTTTCAAAGAGATCATAATTTTGTATTTAGTTTTTGGTGGTTTTTTTTGGTACCGGGGATCAAACTTGGGTCCTTGCACTTGCAAAGCAGGCGGCGAAACCACTGAGCTAAATCCCCAGCCCTGTATTTAGTTTTATAAACTGTTCCCCACTTGGGGCTGGGGATTTAGCGCAAGGACCCGAGTTCGATCCCCGGTACCAAAAAAAAAAAAAGTTCCCCCCAAACAGAACAATCTGGAAGAAAGATCAACACTGAAATATATAACTAAGGGTATCCTAATAAATGGAAAAAATTTAAAGTGTACAGATAAAACAAAAGCAGTAAAAAATATGTTATAAATATCTCCTTTAATAACAATCTTTTCCTTTTCCCTGTGAAACAAACCTTAAATGTGGGGGACAAATAATTCTTCAAGAACCAGAATTTCACAGGAGTCTTGGTATTCTTCAGCACTGATAGCATCATTATGCTGCCAAACAAAAACAAATAATAATGTTCCAATGCTTTTTAACCTCAGTACCATAAAGTAGTGTAATTATAAGACAGCATGACAGAGCTAACTCATGACTCAATTAGGCAGAAAGACCCCTAACAACAGCAAATGCACTAATTCTGCTTATAAACTTACCTTTGATACTTGACAGAGACAAACGCTAGTTCTATTGCTACTTTCAATGAACTACTTTATGAACTGATACATCCATTATGGCACAATAATGGCAGCTGTGAGCTGTCTGCATCATTGTCCCAATCCCCGTCAAGCCACAGCATGTGGTACTGAGGAAGGCGCCTGTATGTGGACAGCCTCTCTCAGCATGGACAGGGAGCCCTGCCAGGGGAAGACCAGAATAGGGAGGGAGGCCAAAGAGTAAGACTCAGACTCTTGAGTCAAGGCATTAAATTAAATTGATACCACTGTCATTATTTTAGTTCTCATTTTTTCTTGGAAACAAAGGGCTAAAAATGAGTAAAAAGGCATTTTAATTTTATTTTCTACACTAGGGTTGTAGTATAAAACTAAAAGAAAAAAAGAGCCCTGGCAATCAAGAAAGTGGCTCTCAGACAAAGGCATAGAACTGAGCCCTCCTGATATTTTCCCTTCTGGTGGCTACAAAGTCAATTAGTTCCAGCCTGCAGACTCTCCTGCCTCTGGCTGTGTGACCTTGACAAGTCCCTTTTTACTTGGGTCTCAGTCTGTTTATAAAACAGAAGTATTCTTACATAAGAACTGAGATCTCTCCTGGATCTAATAGCCTATGGACCTGTAGAAGGTGAAGTGTTGCATGGACCTCTTCTTCTATTCTCTCTGTCTCCTGACTTTTGGTTTAAGCAATCTTTGGTAGCCAAGTAAACACACACTCTATAAAGTGTTTATGTGATATTAAAGGTCTATAGGCTTATAATATCCAAAGAGGCATTCATTACCTAGCTAAACCTCATGGAGTTGAATGGATCAAAATAAAGAGGATTACATATGGCAAGTTATTCATAGTCCTCAGAGTGCTCCAAATAACACATAAATATAATAGGAAGAATCTTACAAAATGTTTTCTCTAAATAAGAATACTGTGACACATTCATTAACACACACTGAATAATCAACAAGACTAACCGCAGAAATCTTTCATAGAGATGTCCGGATGCAACAGAGAAGATATTAATTATGTCATCTTTATCTTGTTTCACCTCCTCAGTCTTCTGTCCTCCTGAAAAGCCCCTATAACAAGAGGTAAATACAGTACCCCTTCAAGTCCTGGCCAGACACACAGTCCTTTAAGGAGAGAGGAAAAAGATGTTGCCTTCCAATTCCCATTCCTACTGGAGAGGGTGAGATCTGGTAGGAGTGGCACAAAGCATGCAGTGTGCTGAAAGAGGGCATAGATTCAACAATGCCACCCCACAGGGAAGAGGAAGATGCTCCCTCCAAGGCATCCTGTTGCTTTAGGAATAGAGGGAATACAGGCTGCACCACAGAACATGGGAAATGAAGTAGGCAGTTACCAAGTACCTCTCCAAAGAAGAGGCACAGCCCAAAGAGACTCAAGAAGCACGGAACACAAGTTCACCAGTAGGAGACATGAAGCTCTTTCAGGTAATTGACTGGGAAATACCAACACCAAATATAAATACAAGATTTGGTTGCATAAAGAACATGAGAGGTCCCGGCAGGACACTATATTCAAAAGAAGGAAGGGTAGGGCCGGGGATTTAGCTCAGTGGTTTTGTCGCCTGCTGTGCAAGCACAAGGACCCGAGTTCGATCCCCAGTACCAAAAAAAAAAAAAGAAGGAGGGGTAGATGGGGCTGTTTTTCCTTAAAAACATAGCTTTTTAAAAACACTAATTTACCATTTGAATGAGTCCCAAAATCCAGATTCGTTCTCATTTGTTCCATCACTCAGCAAGTCTTCATTCACCATGTCTGCCTTCTTCTGAACCTGCAGTCACATGTGACAGACCTTACTACTCCTAGTAGGTCGGTCTAACAAAGAATTGCCTTGCACTGGGTAGGCACTGTGAACACTGGCAACAACAGGGAATTACCAAGCAGTTCCCCACAAGCTGGCACAACTCTCTAGAGTCCATCAGAAGTATGTTTAGGGGATGGAGAAAGAGTCCAGATGTGTCATGTACATGCACCAATTTCCCACCAGGAATGTCATCATTATTACTGCAAACATGTACTAATAAAAAATAAAATTAAAAAAAAAAAGCCTAGAAATTTAATAGGATGGTACATCAGAATATTAAGTAAATGGATAGCTGTTGGGAGCAATGCTACATAATTCTAGGGAAAAATCATTTGGTTAGACTAGTTCTCTTGCCTACAGCCCAGCTACAGAATAACTCCAGTTTGGCCTCCGGTCACAACTGAGACTTCAGTGATCCAGTAATGCTGTGATTCTCCAGGACAAGAAACATCCTGGGAGAACAAACATCTGCTCAGTTCCTCATTGTTCTTGGACTGATTAACATCTTGTTTGCCAGAGATGTACTGAACTCTCTGCAAGCCTTCCATTACACCTTGTTTATCCCAATGTGAACTACTGAACGCTCTGCAAGTCATTTGTTACATTTGTTTCTCCCGATGTACTGAATAAAAGGTGTGGTAAGCTGGGGGCTTTGTCTTTGCTGCCCAGAGCAGCACTGATCAGACCCAAAGCTCAGCTTCTTCTCAGTCTCATTTTTCTACCTTTCCTGTAATTCGCCGTGTGCTGCCGAGGCTCGCAGGAGACCAGGACTCACTGCAGAGGTTCTGGTAACGTCCCCTTCCCCTGTCCCCTACAGATAGCAACTTCTTTTATTTAAACAAAAACCATTTTTCGTTTTTACAGTGAGCAAAGAACCTCAAATTCAGCCATGTAGAAGGCAGACTGGGTAAATGGAGTAGCACACTTCACTAAGCAAACTGAGCATAGAGAAGGAGCACAGCACACAGGAGCTGTCGAGGAAAGGCATTCAGATCACAACCTGTCCACAGGACTTATTAACACAAACACAGGCTGAATCTTTTCAATGGGATGATTTTCTGCTTATCATGCATGGCTGACACTAGCTTTTGCTGTGCATAGAGATTATTTATTCAACAATATGTTTTACTTTAAGGCACTAGGAATGCCAAAATGCTAAGAATAGAAAGAAGAAATTAAATAGAACTATCATTTCGCTGCTGACATTTTCATTGGCACTTTCACCACTATTCTGAGAATAAAATAAAATCATCAATAATATTATGAATTATGGCAATATAATTAACAGCCTAGAACATTTTTATTTTTAATAAAGTAGGACTGGAATTGCTGAGATTACCAAAAAGGTGCAAGCTTTAAGTTGAAGAAAGACATAAATTCACACTTACAAATATTCTGCCTTAAAGCCCTATTCCTATAATTGCTACAGTAAATTCCATAGAAAGTTTTGGGCTGATTTATATATATAGTCACCCCCCTCATCTTCAGGGGATCTTTCAAGAGCCCCAGTAGATACCTAAAACCTTAGGACAGAATCCTGTCTATACTATGTTTTTTTTTGTTGTTTTTTTTTTTAATAAATACTGCTTTGTTTTTAATTTTTATTTATTTTTTTGGTACCGGGGATCAAACTCGGGACCTTGCGCTTGGGAGGCAGGTGCTAGAACCACTGAGCTAAATCCCCGGCCCTATACTATGCTTTTAATTTATAAATTAGGTACAGTAAGAGATTTATGACAACTAATAATAAAACAGAACAATTACCGCAATTCATTATAATAAAAGTAATGTGACTGTGGTTGCTCTTGAATGAGTCAAGACAAAGAGTCGTATTTTTGGACTGCGGCTGCCTGTGAGTGACTAAAACCTTGGATAAGGAGGGGGGTCCGCCACTACTTTGAACAATTATAAAAAAGAATGGCTGCTTTAGTACAGTAAACTTACCTTCACTTTAATAATTTTGCTTTTGAAGTTATTGAGGATGACAAGCACCTCATCAGCATCAGGAGGAGAATCTGTACCATCATGGCTTAGAGAGAAAAGCAAGATAGACACTAAATATCACAATTCTCAAAATGCAGTAAACCACAGGATAAAAATCTGCCACACCTGTTCAACAACTCTGTCAGAACAAATTATTTGCTCAGAACCTGCAGGAAACCCTTTTGAGCTGCACACAAGCACTTATCAAAATCTGTATATGAGATAGTATCCCAACTTTCTCCGAGTCTTCCCCAGTTGTCTGTGGTCCAGTGAGGAGCTCCTGAGCCTGGCAAGCACACAGTGAGCACCGAGTAACTGAGGGTGCTTGTGGCTCCTCCCACTTTTTATTTTTTTAATTGGCTATACAGATTAACAGGTTTCAACACACTTTGATCACTTTCACCCCCCCCCATCCCCTCTCTTGCTCTGGCCTCCCCCCAAGTTTCCCATTTTGGGAGGGGGTTCAATGTGTATAATATCTTTTGCTCACATCCACCCCTCTTGTCTGAGACATCTACCATACCTTGAATAAAGGGGGTAAGAGGTGGGCTACTCTGAGTCATCACTGGAGCCAAATCCCATCTATTGTTTTAAATGGAACAGTTTTATAAAGAAATCTTTCTCATTCTGTCTGGGGCACTCAACCAGGCAAGTCTAGGCCCTCTACTCAATTTAGTGCCTCTAGCAAGAAGAATTATAACCAGCTCTCTTTGCAGGTAGTCACTTGCAGAGGAGTAAATATTTAAAATAATATTTTCCAATTAATTATAACGCCTAAAATTTCTTGTCACCAAATTTCAAGGTTTAGTAAGTTACAATAACAATATGAATTCACTGCATCTGCTGTCACACAGAAGAAAGAGGAGTTCTCAGACAAAAGCAAGGCTCTGGCATGGAAGAAGACTCAAGCATGAACCACTCTGGATTCAAGGGGCACAGACAGAAAGAGGCAGCATGAGGGAGTGGAGGACAGGAAAGGGAGCACTCAGAAGGCATGGAATTTGAAAACACATGTAAAATTTTGTGCTATGTAAAAAAAACCTACTTACAATGAAGATGTTACTATAATCCAAAAAAATCAGAAATCAACACTAATCTATACTGCTTTCATGTGTGTTGGGTATGACAGTATGGAGCCAAGGCAATGACACACAGGGACCACTGCAAATAAATGCTAATGAAAATTATTCACTAAATAAAACCACAGGCAGTTTCTTTTATATAACTTAAGACTAATTTAAATTGATTAGGTAGAAGACAAAACAAACATCTTTAAAGGTAGTGTGATTTTTTTTTCTCCCCTAACACAGGACTGAACCCAGAGCCTTGCACAAGCTAGGCAGGCACTTTAACACTGAGTTGCATCCCCAGTCCTTTCTATTTTATTTTGAGACACTGTCTTGCTGAGTTGTCCGGATTGGCCTAGAACTTTCAATCTTCTTGCCTTAGCCTCCAGAGCAGTGGGGATTACAGGTATGGACCACCAAACCCAGCTAAAGACTGAGTAATTTTTTTAAACTAATAAGTGTGTGTATGTTGGGCATGGTGGTGTACAACTGCAATCCCAGCACTTGGGAGGCTGAGGGCAGGAGGACTGCTGCAAATTCAAGGCCAGCCTAGGTTACATAGTGAGTTCAAGGCTAGCCTGAACTCCATAGCAAGATCCTGTCTCTAAAACAAAAACAAAAAACCCCAAAAAACAAAGCAAAACAAAAGCCTAATAAATATGTGTAGTAAACTCTGAGGCAAAAATCCAGCTACTGGCAGAATATTCTAGTGTGTTTCTATATCACTGTAGACCAAGAAAGACCAGAATTGACAATAAGGCTTCATGGCCTAATTTTGCAGATACTATGTACTTGCAAATCACTCAGGGTCAAGACATATACTCTCTGGTTTGACTGTTCTTTCTTTCTTTTTTTTTGAGAAAGGGCCTCTATGTAGTTTAGGCTGGCCTCAAACTCGCAATGATCCTTCTGTTGGGATTATAGGCATGCATCACCACACCTGGCTCTGTTCTTTTCTTTTTTCTTCAAATGGCAAAATTTCTCATCTGCCTACTATCTGCATCACTGACAAGACTGATTTGATCTGGGATGGTGTTAGCATAAATGAATTAATGGAGAAAAAAACCTGACTATAATTTTAACATATATACTTATATAATTCTTCTTTAACAATTCTACCATGTTTACTTTTCTGAAAAAGTACTCTTCTGTCACACATATGACTGTAACTTAAATTTATGATCCCTGGCAAAATGCCGATAATATCCAATTAGAACTGATTCTCATTTCAAAATGTTCTGGAAAAGTACACTAGAATCACTTGATCCTACCTGTAGATTCTATAAATATCTTCAGAGCGTCCCTTCCTAAGTCTGAGAATCCAAGCTCCTGGGTTGGCTTTTAGCTGAAAGTAGCCCTAAGATAAGAAGAAAAGCCAAATTTCAGTTCTCTTTTAAAACATAAAAATGCTATTTCTTAGGAATGGTTACATCATCTTCTGAAGTATTAGACACGTGACAATTTAAATAAGATAGTTAACAAATCAGGGCAATGCAGAAACAACAATAACAAAACTAACAACTACATATAAGACACTCTGGGCAAATACACGCCAAGTAAGCCAAGAAGTCTACCCCATAGCTGTGCACCAGTGAAGGTGCAATGTGTGATGGCTGACTAAGCTGCCAACTTTCTAAAGAAGACAGCCAGGCAGGCAGCTCAGGAGAATGCATTTTCAGGGGCCAATCTGTTTAGATCAGAGTACTGTTTCTTCTTTTAAACAGACATGTAATTTCAATCTTCACATTTAACAAAGCTTATGATTTATATGAACCAAATTCAGCCAATTATGAATTTTAATCTCACTGTGTAGTCCAGAACACTAAATGTTCCATCATAAATTATAATTCCCAAATTAACATCACTGCCATATCTCTATTTGATGTGCTGATTATTTACCAAATTGGCCATTACAATGGTGTCCACAATGACGGGATTGGCTGAAGTTCCTAGGGTAAACTGCAGTCCCCGTGGGGGTTGGCCTGTGGTGATGTCATAGCAATGACCTTCAAGTAACAGGTACTCCAGCTCATACTCGGCAGCCACTACACTGTCCACCTGCAATACCAAAACAGATCACTTGAAAGCTACTCAGCAGCAAAATCCGAAATGCATTTTGCAAAGTGAATGAGGCCAATAAGAGGAATTACATATTGCAGAATCATACTGTAAGAAATTCAAGAAAAGGCAAAACTACAGTGACAAAGAGCAGGTCAATCATTCATTGTGCTGGGTGGGGTGTTGCCTGCAAGGACCTTCTTGGGATCAAAGAATTTTCTGTATCTTGATTATAAGTGATTAATGACTATAAAATTATAAAAACTGGATTGGAAGAAAGGAGAAAAGAGAATAAGGAGATCATTCCAAAATGGAGAATATGACTCCAGAAACTTAAAAAAAATTAGAAAACTAAATAAATAGCCATCCTATACTCATGGATCAGTACAAAAACTTGCAAACAAGATTCACGGGGGCCAGGGATTTAGCTCAGTGGTTCTGCAGCCTGCCTCGAAAGCGCAAGGTCCCAAGTTCGATCCCTGGTACCAAAAATAAAATAAAATAAAATAAAAAATTCGCTGGGGATTTGGCTCAGTGGTTTTGCCACCTGCTGCACAAGTGCAATGACCCGAGTTCAATCCCCAGTTCCAAAAAAAAAGATTCACGGCAACATTATGCATAATAGCCAAAAAGTAGAAACAACCCAAATGACCATTCATGAATGAATAAAGTGCAGTACATCCATACAGAGGGAAGCCTCTGGCACTAAAAAAGAATGACATAATTATATATGCTACAGCATGGATAGACCTTGGAAATAATGTGTTAAATGAAAGAAGCCAGTTATAAAAGACCACGTTATATGATTCTATTTAAACGAAATGTCAAAACAGGCAAATCTATAGAGATAGAAAGTAGACTATAGTTGCTGGGGGTTGGGAGGGATACAGAGTGACTGGTAATGGGTATGGGGCTTCTGAGTTGATGAAAACACTAAAATTAGATGGTGGTGATGGCTGCACAGCTCTGAGAATACACCTAGTCCTCTAACCTGCACATTTTGGAAGGACAGATTTTATAGTACACAAATTGTAACTGAATACAGTTGTTATATTCTTACCTCTACTAAATAAATATTATCAAGATCATATGGTGTTTTGACAGATTCTACCATCCAACTCTCAGGTGTATTCAGATTCAGGGTGAACAATGGAGACTGTGGCATATCCAGAAATTTTGCTATTGGACCCTTAGCAAAGTTATTGTCTGAAGTGAAAGAAATCTCTGGTTCTAAGACATAACGGTAAAAGCTGAAATTGAAAAGAAGAGTGTTAGATTTCTTCTGTGTAGCCACAGGTCTTGAGTTTTTCTTAAAAGCCAATTCCTTGGAGTTGGGGATCTAGATCAGTGGCTCCACACCTGCCTGGCAAGCCAAGGTCCTGAGTTCAAGCCCAGTATCACAAAAAAAAAAAAGCCAAGTCCTTAAATGGTGATTGGGTTCTCACACTAGCCCTGAAAACACTACATGTAATAATTTTGGAGAGAAGAGGGGAAACAGGGTCTCACTAAATAGTGTAGTTCAGGGTGGCCTTGAACTCACTATGTAGCCCAGGCTGGCCTGAAACTCATGGCAATCCTCCTGCCTCAACCTCTTGAGTACTGGGATTACAGGTATGCACCACTCCTGGCTTGTATGTAATAATATAAACATTTCTTTATACAAGACAATGGTGATTCTGGGAAACTTTTGGTCACTTGCAAAAACTAGTTCAATCCATTAGAATCAAAGCTATGGAACACAGCATATTTGCAAATGAGTAATTTCCTGTAGTCATAACATGTGCTATACTACTTTTTTTTTTTTTTTTTTGGGGTGGTACCAGGGATCAAATTCAGGACCTTGCACTTGCAAGGCAGGCACAGTGCCACTGAGTTAAATCCCCAGCCTTTATGCTACTATTAACTGATTTTTGTCACTTTTTCCATAAATGACCATCCCAAAGCTCATGACAATATAAAATAGCTAAGCTTGATCTCTTTTTCAAAATACTGTATATGCAGATAACCCTAAGCAAGGCTCCTCTACCATACATACTGCAGCCTGAAATGCCTACTCTTCTGTTAGGGTGAACACACAGTGCAAGTAGCCTGGGTTAATGCCTCCTAAATGCTCCCATGCCCACACTCTTAGAACTTCTGATCTAGAGAAAAAAACTGGCAAACTGAACATTCAATAAATGCTTTTTTAAACTTGATGTCCACCTAAAACCCATGGAACTCTTTAGCATTCAATCCTCCTTTTGGATTTGATACCATGTTTTCCGATTTCTTAAACAATATGTTTTACCTTTTTAAAGGCATGTCCGAAAGTTTAGATTGGCAATTCATAAACACTCTTAAATTCATGTTTATCAGTTGAGTCAAAACCTAAAAGGACAAAGCATAAAACAGATTATTTAAATTTTCTCTTCAGAAATTTATTACTTGACATTGAATTAAGAGAGAGAACATTTCTTAATATCTCAAGGGACTATATAAAGATAATACCTGCCATAAAGTCTGCACTGGAAATTTCTGGAAAGCATAACTCCAGTGTAGATCTAAATCATTCAATCATACAGCCCCCACTCAGAGAGAGAGAGAGAGAGAGAGAGAGAGAGAGAGAGAGAGAGAAGCTATTACAGATCACTGCTTCACACATAAAGAAAATGTAACACAGAGTCAGGGAGAACAGGGAGAACAGATGGGTGATGAACATCTACCTACCCAAAGAAAATGTAAGGGCTTAGTGCTATAACTCACGTAAAGTATGAAAAACCATAAATACAAATTCCCACAAAAAAGTTCAGATGACTGTACTTCAATAAAAATGTTACCTTAAATAATACAAGTAAATGAAATGTCAAGAGCTTTTGTAAGCGTTCTTTTAAATATACACAGAAATTATCTTTTATATATCTTATACATATAAAAGACATGCTTCAGAGAAAAGGTCCATGGTGGTTATTAAAAAAAAAGGAAAATGAAAAAAAGTATAATTATTTCACCTTCTTTTTTTGGTACCGGGGATCAAACTCAGGACCTTGCGCTTGTGAGGCAGGCGGCAAAACCACTGAGCTAAATCCCCGGCCCCTATTTTACTTTTTTACTCCTTTGCCACTACAACATAAATCAATTTAGTTTAAAGATACTTTGGTCTAAATGAGGGTATTAATAATTTTTAATTATATGATGTAGCCAAAAACCTTGTATAACTTGCTAGAGTTATAAAGTTGTTTTCAGAGCCATTATCAATCTTTATGAAGACCATTCTGTCCAAGATGCTCTGTACCATTTTTTAATGCCCCTTAAAGATAACTAAAGGAAAAGGACGCTCCCAAAGAATCCCAGGGAATATGGCTAGCTTTGACAGATGATGTGAACTGCCCCCACACTGGTCCTTACCAACAGCAGTGGGGCAAGCCTTTGTGCTTCTCTGGTGACAGGGTCAACGACAGCCACAACATCAAAGTATGTCTCCCCTTCCTTCGGCCTCAGTTTAATTGCACTATAAAGATCAAAAAGAGAAAACATTAACAAGAAAGCCAGAAACCAAATTAAGTTAGGGTTTTTGTTGTTGTTTTTATCAGCCTTCTTAGTATTTCAAAAAATTGGTTTTTGTTTTGTTTTGTTTTTTGAAGATAGGGTTGCTCAATGTGGTTCAAACCGGTCTTCAACTCACTACATAGCCCAGGCTGGCCTTGAACTTGGAGTGATTCTCCTGCCTCAGCCTCCAGAGTAGGGGGATTACAGGTGAGGGCCACCACGACCAGCATTTTTGTTTTGATTTATTAAAAAACTTTAGATTTGGAACAACTAGATTGCAATAGTCAACTATCAGATTATATCTATCCTTAACTCTAAAACCCTGATCAATCAGGCTCACTTGAGATGGACTGAAAGATCTGCGTGAAGTAAGAAAAACCAGCTGGAAATTATACTTAACCAAACTACTAAAAGCTACTGATATTAGCCTCTAACAATTACTGAACATTATGCTAATTTTTATTTCCTAGCAAAAAGGCTATGAGAAGAGAAGAAATAAATCATTTTCCAAAATGTAACAGTGCTAGGGATGTAGTGTAGTGGTACAGAGCTTGCCTAGAATGCATGAGGCTCTGGGTTTAAGCACCAGTTCTGCAACAACAACAAAAAGAAATGGAACATTTCAGAAAACCTACAAAGCTGGAAAAAAAAAACAACCCTATATAGATGTATAACCACAAAATCTTGCTATCCCAATACTTTCTTGCATTTTGTGTAATCCTTTTTAGATGCCTATGTAAAAGTTATCTGTAACTACAGTGTATTAGCAATTTAAAAACAATTTCCTCAATCTCCCACCACTGCAGCACAAAGATTTTTACATGCTGTTACACATCAAGAATCCTGAATAAGAAATGATATTTTATTTACCAAGAGGATCCACCAATTTACTCAAGCTATTCTTTGCTGCTGGACATTTAGATGGCTTTCAACCTGTAAACATGTTTTACATCCAGCTCTGTTCATATTTATAAATTTTCTCAGGGTCAATGAAGTGCTAGACATGAGATTATAACCATAGGATATACACATTTCAGAAGCTAATATGTATGGTGAACTTCATTTCCTAAAGAACTAAAGCAATCTACATGCCAAAAAAGTGAATTCCACATCTTTGCCACCACTAAATTGCACATATTGTGATGGTTAACTTTGATTGTCAATTTGACTGGGTTGAGAAATTAGGAAAGTAGTGAAGCACACTTCTGGGTGTGACTGTGAGGGTGTTTCCAGAGATAAATGGTATAAGGGGCACAAACTGATGGGGGAGATCTGCTTTGAATGTGTGTGGCACCATCCAGTGGGATGGGGGACTGGATGGAACAAAAACGGGAGGAAGCCCGTCAGAATTCCCACTCTTTCTGCTGCCACGAGGCAAGGAACTTTCCTATGCTATGCCCCTCCACTGTTATGCTTCTGCCTTAGGAACATGGACTGAAGCCTTGGAAACTGTGAGCCGAAATGAACCTTCCATCCTCCAAGTTGTTTTTCTCAGGTATTCTGCTACAGAAACAGAATGCTGACACATTTTTTTTCTGTTTTCAGGTGATTTGGTTTTATCTCCAGGTCCTCTAAGGAGAAACACATTTACCCAAATGGAGTTCTTGCTACAGTGGTTCCCTCTGAAATCACACTGACACAGGTAACTTAAGCGTAATCAACTTGGAAGGTTTTAAAACTATTCAGTGTTTCAAATCATTAACTGCTTTGTTTCACCTGCCGACCACTAACTAGTCTTTTATGCAAGAATATTTACCCAGTAGGATTAAAAAAGAAAGTATAATACAAAGCAGACACAACTAACAAAACTAGGCAACCACAGTTTAGGTGCCAATGGAAGTTAGTTCAAATTTTAACTGCTTTGAAAATAACCATTGCTTTGGGAATAGCTTTGTGACCATGGTATAGTAATGCTTACAATCTCTGATAATGTTAACAATTCCAGATTCAATCACTGCCAATGATTATTCTAATATAATAAAAGGGGTTTTTTTACTATACTATAGCTGTTCTCAAAGTGTGGCTCCAGACCAGCAGTGTTAGCTCAACTTGGGCATCTGCTAGACATAAATTTATTGAGCTCAGACTTACTGAATCAGAAACTCTGGGGGCAGGTCCAGCAATCTACATTTTAAGCTCCTGCGCGAGAGTCAAAATGTGAGTGCCACTTCCTAATATAATTTGTAGTTCTGCACTCTCTTAGAATTCTAGGAGAAAAGTTGATTAGAGAATAATAGCATTATACAAACTCTCACAAAGAGAAGAAGGAGGGTCTCCGCTAGGACTCCAGGCTGATCGGGCAGTGTGACATGTACTGACTAATGCACTGCTACAGGCAGTCTGCAACAGAAATGCTCACAAACTGATCCTATGAGGGGCTTAACCAGCCCCACTTTCTATAACAAGAAAAAGAGACAAGACAAACACCCAAGAAAAGAGAAAGACAAATGTGGATTTGGGAACAACATGAACTAACAATACCATTTTTTAATATACTTGTTTACTGGTAAAAAAAGCCCAAGTGACAAAGCAACAAGATTTGGAGATCATATACGTTTGCCTAGAGTAAAGCAAATGTAAAAAACTACTGTACTTCACTAACACTAATGTTCATAGGATTCTTGTGAAGATGCAGATTTACTGTAGATGCTGATTTGATAGGTCTAGTGTAGAGCCAAAAACTGCGTTTCTGACAATCTCCCAGACAATGCCCTGTCCATGGCTGATCCATATGGACCACACTCAGAAAGAGCTTGCATGTACAGAACTGATGGTTCAGATCTTATATTTCTAATACAAATGAGAAACTTCTGATTTACATACGACAAACACTCAATTAGCTAATACATTCCAATAAGAAGAAATTCTCTAATTATAATTTGGATCATAACAGAATTTGTAATTAAGACATTTTAATCATGTAAAACTTTAGGAGGCTCATGGAGAAAAAGGATTTCTAAAAAGAGACACAGATCTCTACTCAGGACTATCTTGACTATGAAAGGCAAATGAGATGGCAGGTTACTTAGGAAATGTTTTCTGCTCTAATAACTAGATAATAAGTTACTTCCTAGATGTATGCAAGTGCTGGTGGCAAAATCCAACAAGGATTAGCCAGAACTCCTCACCCACTGGTGACATGGGAAATCAGAAAACATATGGTGGCATTTAAGCAGCATGGTGGCATTTAAAGCCTCCCTGGGGATTCTGAAGCATAATCAAATTACAAACTTGCCAGGCAACTGTACAGGGTTCTCCCTAAAAACAGTTACTCTAAGTCTAGTCACAAGGAAACAACTAGACTGTAGGACATTCCAAGAGACAACTGGTCTAGACTTTTAAAATATATTAATGTCATAAAAGACAAAAGACCAAAGGACGGAAGAAAGAAGAAAAAAAAAAGCAAGGAACTCTTCAAGATTAAAGGTGACTAAAGAAACACAATTAACTGTAATGTGTATTCAGGACCAAAACAAACATAAAAAGCACTGTAAGAGGTCATTACTTGGACACCGGAGACATGTGAAAAGGTATATATATATGTATTAGGTATAGTATATTAGGTATAATTACTGAATCAAGAGACATGTACAGGGGCCAGGGATTTAGCTCAGTGGTTTTGCCACCTGCTGCGCAAGTGCAAGGATCCGAGTTCGATCCCCGGTACCAAAAAAAAAAAAAAAAAAAGAAGAGACATATACAGAAGATTTTAAGCTTATTACAATGCTGCCTATGTCCTTTCAATGGTGTAAGTACACGTGTGTCTATGCAAACACACAAACATTGTATGTACTATAGACATGGACAAGAGATAAAGCAAACACAGAACGCCAAAAACTAGTGAACTAGGTTAAAGATATCTGTGGGATCCTGGTAAGTCTTGCAACTATTTCTATATCAGAACATTTCAAAATAAAGTGGTGGTGTACACCTATAATCCCAGCACTCAGCAAGATGAGGCAGAAGGACTGCCCTGAGTTCAAGGCCAGTCTAGGCTACAGGTCTCAACAAAACAAAACAAAACAAAACACTTACACAACAAAAAGGCAAGGACTCATAATACTCATTTCATTTTTCTTTACCAAAAGTTTTCAAAAGGATGCATGAGATCAGTGTTTTAACAATCTGTTTACTCTTGAACACCAGAAAATTAGAACTAGTCTGTTTTATAAAATGCTGTCTGTTCTCTAAAAGGATCCATTCAGAATCATTTCAGATTTATTTAGAAATAAATATCAACTTTCTTGCAACTGAGAACTGCATATCAATTTTTTATATGAACACTAATATATAAAAACTGTACTCCTAACCAATTTTTCTTTTTGTTCAACTTATGTGCAAACCTTATATGGAAAAAAAAGGACAGAGGTAAAGGCAATATTTAGGTCAAAGTTTAATATTTAGGAAAACAAATTCAACATGAATTTTATACCTGTGTTTGTCTTCAAAAAACTGGTACTCAATTCTTGCATCTCCTTTGGGTTGAACTGACAGGAGAGCATCTACCTTCATTACTAAGTCACTGGCCCTGAAAGATGGATTATGAAATCTTAGCATCTCTTTAACTGAAGGTTTCTCAATTACCGGCAGGCAGGATCAGCCCAAATACTGAATACTGACAAGATGGTGTTGAGAAGGTATAAAATCCATGCCAACAAGCATGAGAAAAAATACTGATTTTTTAGCGATTAACTGTACCATCTTAGGAACATTATTCATTTTTCCACATGGGTAGTATCTACTTGTTGGAGCCTTGTAAATACTGTGCTGGCTAAATATATCAAGCACCAGCTCAGTGACTGACCCACAGCAGGAGGTCATTATTATGTACACTCTTTTGACCTCTATTAAATAATATTACTATTTTTATAATTATTAGAGTAGTAATTCACTGGAAAAACATTGAGAAAAAATACAAAGGAGAAACTGACATTACATATCATCATTATGAAGACATAAGTTATGATACTGTAGTTTATAATTCTATATTTTTAAGTAATGTGTAAACAAAGGCAGTATACTACTTAGTAACCTTTTTATTTAAATTTATAAAAATGATAGTTAATAAATATAGTACATATCACTATTTTAGTGGCTGCATAATACATATTTATTGCTACATCAGTCTATTAAACCAACCAGCTACTCAATATCTAAGTTATTTCTAACTTTAAAGTTAGTGAACAAGTTAGAAAAGTATCTATTTCCTCTACCCCTTCTAAAGTTAATTTCTAACAAAGGAAGATCTTGAACTAAATCATGAGCCTGAAAAAAAATGCTTTTATTTGTTGAGTTGACGACTGAGAGCCCTCGTGGTTCTATTTCAACAGCAATCAAGCTTATACATTGTTTCTTTGAACCAAAATACTGTATCAAATTATCTTTTTTGGTTTAACTTCTTAATGCTAATTGTGACCACAGTAATGAGCATCAATTGCTGTTTATAGTGTGCCAACATGGTCACAAGACACGTCAAGGGTCACTTGGTTATGTGGACAGGGCAGGCAGGCCACAAGCAACTCACAGGGGTTCATGAAGCTGAATGACAAGGAGCACAAAGCTAAGATCTGGAAAGCTGGGGATAGCCTCAGGGCTGTAGGCTGCATCAAGAATGAAGCTGTGGGACCAGGGATTTAGCTCAGTGGTTCCAGCACCTGCCTTGCAAGCACAAGTTCCTGAGTTCGATCCCTGGTACCAAAAAAAAAAAAAAAAGAATGTAGTTGTGTCTGTAATAGGGCTCCACTCCAAAGTAGAACAGCTCAGGCTCTAGTGAAAACCCTAGGCAGGCAAGGAAATTTTGCAAACCCCATGGGTTTTATATCAATCTCTTGGCACCCCATGACTAGTGACAGCCAACTCATTGTCAACTTTGGAGGGTGTAAGAGAAACAACTCAGTATGCCATACTGGTAAATAAAGGAAAATAACTGTGTAACCAGCTTCCTCTCCCAGACAAAATAAAACTGAAAGATAATCAAACAGATAATGAGAGAAAGTTTCTCTTGAAAGAGAGGTAAGTGGACCCTCTACATCTTCAGATGTCTGAAATTTTCCAAAATCAAAATCTAAGACAAGTCAAAACTGAAATTAATTCAGTTCTTTAAATAGCAGCCCATGAAATAAATTAGCTTGTTTAAAACAAACAAAAATTTAAGTCCTATTTATAAAGCAGGAAATAAAACTTCTTGGACTAGGTAGTTATATGACATGATCAAAGATGAGTCTAAATAGTATAACCTCTATGGCATGAACTAATTAATTTCTTCTATGACAAAACTTACACATCTTCTTCTACTCGAAGCTGTTGAATATGAGATTTTATTTTCTGTCCTGAAGTTTTCAAGACGATATTTTCTAGGAGGTGGAAATCATCTTGATTAAAAAGTTCATTATCCTCCAATGGCCCAATGATCTATAAGAAGAGGAGCAGGAGGTCAGAGCTGGAAAACTGCCACCAGCAACAAGCCAACTTACACACCTAAGCGCCAGAAAGATGAGACAAAGATACATATCTAAATAAAATTAATGAATGAATAAAAAGTAAAGCCTCAATCAACTCACAGTTATTTACTTATCAATTCCTCAGATATGCAGAGTCTAGACTTATTTCACATTATTTTCACAGTTCGCAAACTCTGAAGTAAATAAAATAGCAAGGTAGTTTTCATTAAGTCTTACCAAGTATCAATGACAAAGTCTACTTTATGTGTCATACTGATGTCTGTTCTGAGAGCCACCACACTCTCACTGCCTCCCACAATGGCAGGACACAACTAAACCGGAAGCTTCCACACAGGGATATTTATGTCAGAAAACACACTGGCTGGGAAATAAGGAGCAGAAATATCATTGCACTTCAGAAGCCCTAATCACCTTTGTAAAGAGGGTGGCTCTGCTGGAAGTTTACTAGCTTCAGAGTAGCATGCTGCAAAGACTGTTCACGGACCTAATCTGAAGCCAAGCTTGTGTCAGCCTGACAAGTCCTCACCCTTCCGTTGCTGATCACTGCCCTCTGTCCCTTCTTCAGCTTCAGGACATCCCTGCAGTACACGGCATGAGACAAAATGAAATCCATTTTGGAAGACTCAAACACCTCTTTAAAAAGACTGAAATCCATGCCCTAGGAAAGTAATCATTTTTAAGGAAAAATCATTGTTATTAAGCAAACCATACCAATGAATACTCATAATGAATAAATTATAAAACACTCGTCATGAACAATAACTACATTTCCCAACTAACATCATGATATCTCAATTCTTCCATCACCCCCACCTCAGTAAGTAACTGCTTATTTTGTTTTCATGAGATTTGTTCTAGTGGTAGTCTCTGCTCCATTTCTTTATTTTGTACTTTTTAAATCGTGGTAACTTCTAGTGAAAGCCATTTTTCTCTAAATGAAACTTTACATACACTTAGGATTTTATAAAAAAGTTTAAAACTATAAACAGTTTTTAAATGAGTATATTAAATAAGCAAATAAATATAAGCTTTTATTGGAAACACATCAAGAATAAAAAAGCCTTGGGCTAAGGATTTAGCTCAGTGGTGCCGCTGCCTGCTTTGCAAGTGCAAGGTCCAGAGTTTGATCCCTGGTACCAAAAAAGAAAGAATACACAAGCCTCTAACTGCAAAGAGAATAAAATTTCAGGTTTTTTTTGTTTTTTGGTACCAGAGATCAAACTCAGGACCTTGTGCTTGCAAGGCAAGTGCAGTGCCACTGAGCTAAATCCCCAGCCCCTAAAAATTTCAGTTTTTTTATTCTACAAACAAATCAAATATTATCTATGTTTTACTTACTTATTTTTGCAGTGCTGGAGATCAAACCCAGGACCTCGTGCATGCTAGGCAAGTACTCTGCCCTTATCTGTCTTTAAAAAATTGTACAAAATGGGCCAGGGATGTAGCTCAGTAGCACCCCGTCTGCCTGGCAAGTGCAAGATCCTGAGTTTGATTCTCAGTACTGAGAAAAAAAAACTATAAAACAAGGAACTCATACATACTAAGTATGTATTACCACTGATCTATACCTCCAGGACTACTTACCCATTAATTTTTTAACCGAGACTCAATTACTTATCAAAATTCTCAAGCAAAACATTAAGAAAAACACATAAAATAAGATGGATGCAAAATTTTTTTTAAAAGTGGAAAAAACAAAGAGAAAAATAATTGGTGCTTTAAAAAACTTACAAAACAAATGGCATTGTACTTAAAATATGAACTTGTACCATGCATATCTTGAAACCTGGGCAAGTTTAAAACTCAAGGGGAATGTGACACAATTGTTTCTTGGAAAGAGTCTTCCAAATTTAAAAAAAATCCTGAGATTCAGAACTAATTACAATTCCTGATGATCAACAGGACACATCAGCTGGACATGTGATAGAAGGGAGCAGCCTCAGGACATACGTGGTCTTACCCCAACAGAGAACTCCCCGATGTCCACCCCTGCCACCAGCGCCTCTGCAGTGTCCTCTTTGACCATTTTGGTGATGAAGTTCTTGGCAGAGTTGGAGGTCTGTGTCTGGAGAGCTGCCCAGATTGCTCTGGAGATCTGAGTGTGCTTGTAACTTATTTCTTTACTGGGATTATTGATCATGCTGATCCTAACATTGTTACTGGATTTCTATTTACAAAATGGGACATAAGAGTTACATAATAGATATTTTGAACTTAGAAGGCAGCAGTGACATCAGTCATGTTCCATAATAGCAAATAACATCTCTCTGAAAAGTTTTTAGTAGTTCTCTGTGTTCAGAAGGAAGTTCAGATGTTACAAACAGGCAATCAAAACCCTGTTTTCCAACAACATTTCTTACCATCCCTGATATCACAGACAATCAGAGCCTTGATATTCCTTAGCCCCTTTTATATGACTCTGATGCACATCATGCCTAACAATGCATGTTGACCTCAACTATATTTCATCTTTTCTCCCTTACGTTTCCACCATTATTCATGGTTCTGCTCAAACCTATTTTCATTCACTTGACCTCTCCAGGTGCCTAATAAAAATGAATCTCTGGGTGAAAAGAAAGGAATCCATGTGAGAGAAGACATCTGGGACCCACAAAACCAAAAAAAGGACTTGTATCAAGAATACAAACAGAAATTTATACTAATGGTATTAAAATACATGTACAAGAACATTCATAGCAGCATTCTTCTTAGCCTCAAGCTACAACAACCCAGCTGTCCCTCAAATACACTAAATAGAAAACAAAACTTTGGGGTACAGCCATACAATGAGAAAGAACTAAGTGCCACTATTTGGAATATCACGAATAAAGCTCACAAAATGTTGAGCAAAGAAACCAAACACAAATAAAAATATATTCTAAGATTCTAGTTGCATAAAATAAAACACAGACATAATCTATGATGTGAGAAGAGGGAAGGGGGTGGGAAATGTGGTACAGGTCAGAGAAGGCCGACATAAATTTGGTAATTCTATATTTCTAGATCTGGGTGGTGGTCACATGCATGTGTTCATTTTGTGACACTGCATACTATGATTTGTGCACTTCTTATGAACCTGTATTTTACCTTAATGAAAACATGCATCTACAAAACTGAACTCTTTCCCAGCTGTCTCACTCTAGTACTATTTAAGAGCTTATCTATCAGTTTGCAAAAAAAAGTGCCTCTTACACACATCTACTACCCCTCACTAGAACCACTCCTGGTGTAACCCTGAAGTGACCACAGCATGTAGTCCACTCCCTTGGCACCACGGTGAGATGAGTCACCGGCTATTTCCTGATTTCAGTAAGCCATCCTGAGGAACAAGTAGAAAGGAAGGTTGTGAAGACTGGACACTGCAGCAAATTCAAACAGCTCAGGAAAGGGCATTTTGACATCTCATCCTCTAAACAACTATGGACGGATCAATTTCTTAACCACTCAGCACTGTCTTTTTCTGAAGTCCTATTGCTCATGTGCCATGTCTTTCAGAGCATCTATGTAAGTATTCCCTCAGACCTACTTCCATGGGCCTGTGCAGTGGTGCCCTGCATCTAGGCTTCTCTCAAGGTAAGGACCTGAGGAAGGTCACATTTTTCTCTCTTAAAAAAAAGCTATTCCATGCACTGAAGTCAGGACATACTGGTATTGGGTCCTTTTCTTATGAGCTGTCAGACCTCTGAAGACACAATGTCCATCAGAGCATCACATCAGCACAGAGACACCAGGAAGGACAAATGGAGCCTCAAACAAGAACAAAGAATTAAGTGTAGATACTCACTTGATGTTTAATAGCATCATACAATAACTGCCGTCCAGAAGCACTATCAAAGTCTCCAACAATCCAAAAGGTTACTGGCCTAATAAAAGAATCATCTACAGGAAAATAAAAACAAACTGAATCGGAGGAAAAAGGAACATTTTATGTTTCAATATTGTTATTAAATTACATCATTTCTAAAAACCATGCAAGTTTTAAAAGAAAGCAAATGGGGCCGGGGACTTAGCTCAGTGGCATAGCGCCTGCCTGGCAAGCACAAGGTCCTAAGTTCAATCCCCGGAACCAAAAAAAAAAAAAAAAGAAAGAAATAAAATGTAGTGAAACTTTACTAAAATTAAAACAGGGTAATCTTACTAGTGGCTGACTTAGGAACATGCACTGATTAATTCCACTATGGTCTGGGGATCGGTTAGTGTGTGAACTGAAACATGTGACTAATATAGTACAGTCTTTAATCATATTTATTTGTAACTTTCTGAAATATTTTTCTTCATAAACATTTATACAAAATTTATTTGCACTGATGTAGCCTACGGTTAGCCACAGGTTCCAGAAACATCACAATAAAGAGTCAATAAATTCTGAATAACAGTGGTTCCTGAAACCACATGAGGTAATACAGAAGAATAAGAAGAGAACATTCTGAAGTTTTGAGTTACCATAGACTTCCTTGGAGGACATTCCTGGACAAAGGCAAAGGGAAGAGAGCAGAAGAAAAGAAAATGTCATTTCTGTAGTTAATGCCCCAATGTAAGAGTTCAAAGATAAATGATGACTAACACAAACTAAGCTTCTTTCTGCTCTATCAGTGCTGTAGCACTGCTCCAGGGCTGCTCAGAAATAACTCTGAGGAGCCCACAGGGGTAATTATCTATACTTACATATTCCTGAAAAACAGAAACCCTTCCAGGGAAAAGATGATAGCAGGGATAAAAACAGCTACTTTAAGTGACAGTTGATGCTTTTGGAAAGGGTCATAAGTGTGACCCTTATGAGGGGAAAACAGTGCTTGGATGAGAGGGTATCATCTTACACAATTTTAACTAAATAACTACATAAAAATTAAGTTTAAAAGATTACACATGGCTTTCTAAAATCTAATTATCTCATAAATCCTAAAATAAAATTAATCCTGTATCATCACTGAAGAGCAAATTAAAGCAATTTTCAATCCATTAACCCATTTTTTTATGATAGTTTATTTTGAATCATGATTTTTCTTTTTAAATTTAATAGCTAATAAAGTACTTATAAAGACAATATTTGAATTTTTAAACATATGTAAATAATTATTTTCTGGGCTCAAAGGATTATATTTAAAAAGCTAAAAACTTTCCTTCCTCAAAAGACATTAAGATTGAATTATGCTTGCCAATCCTGAAAGAGAGAGATGAATCCAAGATAAGCCCACATATAGATACCTTTCTTTGTCAGATAGTTCATACTATTGGCTATAGCAGCGGTCTTGCCTTGGGAATCCAGGACAGAAAATCTAGTATAATCATCCACAAAAAAGTTATCTGTGGAAAAAAAATTGAAATAGACGTACAATTAATATATCTGAGTTCAATCTACTATTAGTAGTCAACTGGTAACCTGCTTTGACCGTACTATGAGCTGTACAAAAACTCGTTGAAGTTCACGACATGAACTCCACCCCATTAATCCCACTCTAAGACAAAGTTAATGAATAACACACATATCTCACCCAGTTGTCAGTTTAACAGTTTAAATGTATCCCATTCCCACTGTCACTTCACAGCTGGAAACGACTTCTGAGAGATCCCTTACCTCATCTCTCTCCCCTGTCCATCCACTAGAGTACGCTGCTGCCTAGCCTACAGACCCAGAGGATATAAGAAAACTCTGATTTCTATTTTTCATGTCTGAGAAAATAATATTTCCTCAACTTTAATAGAAACAAAAGGTCACTTTTCACTACTTTCAAATATGTGCCTTTTCTGGTTAGTGCCCAAAGGCAGCCCCTCTGTTAATCATTTCCCCTCAGATCACTCTTACTAAAACTGTAGTTACATCAAGCTAATCCCTTGTTCTGAACTATACAGTAATTTCTTCCTAGCTATAAAATGGTCTTGAGTCTAGTATGATAAACCATCTGCCTCCAGCAGTCTCCCTTGCCGCTTTTTTTGTGGTTTTTGGGATGGAACCTAGGCCTCACACATACTGGGTAAGCACTCTACAATGGGCTGCTTCTCCAGCTCTCTTCCCAGCCTAGTGTTTTGTTTAGTTTTTTGTTTTTGAGACAAGTTCTACTATATAGTTCAGGTTATCTTGAACTCATATGTAGCCCAGGCTGGCCTTGAATTCATGCCAGTCCTCCTGACTCAGCCTCCTGGGGTTACAAGCACCCACTGCCATGCCCGGCCCTGTACCCAGTCTTAAGCACTGTTACAACCTCATACACACACTACTCTTCTCATCACTGACTGCCATGCACACATGCTGGCCTGCCCACCCATTTCCTGGTCTGTGTGTCCACTCACCTATCCATTCTTTCACTCAACGATGCACATAGAGTGCTATCCACGCGACAGACTATCCATGACATGTACCAGGGAGAGGACACTACGGCCTTGAGAGTGAATATCTATCTGGTTATGATATCTGGTTTGGATCTTCAATGTCTCCTCAAGGCCTATATGCTAAAGAAATGGCCACCAGCCTGTGGTGCTACTGGGAGACAGTGGAACCTTCAGATGGGGCATAGGGGGAAAAAGTTAGGTCACTAGGGGCATGGCCTTGGAGTGGTATTGGGACCTCAGCGCCTTCCTGTCTTTTTTTGCTTTCTGGAAGCCTCCAGGTGAGCAGCACTGTCCCACCACATGTTCCCCACCATAATACTTTGCCTTGCCACAGGCCCAGACACAACAGAGACAACTGATCATGAAATAAAGCCTCTGAAACCATGAACCAAAGTAATACATTTCTCCTTTTCTGTTGGTTTTCTCAAGTATTTTGTCATACTGATAAAAATCTAACCAATGTCTTACAAGGTTGTGGGGCAGCAAAAACCAGAAAAGCCTGGGTGATGGTGCTGTTCCTGCCTGGTCAGGGAGGCGCCAGTGCCTTTTCACTGACACCTGCATTGGGTTCAGCTGCGTCTCTGCCACTGTGGACTAGCACTGCTTCAGAGCTCATCACTACAACATTCAGTGGAAATGAAAGTCCAAAACATGCAACTGCTACCGTGCTCTTCATTCATGGGTATTCCACAATGCCCTTCAAGTTTAATTTAAAACGATGGAAACAAAAACTCTGGACTGAGAGTCATAATACTGTTTAGTTTACTCTAGTAAAGCTTCTGGTAAGAAGCTAATGCCCAGTTATGAAAAAGCCAGATTACTTATGGCAGTTTCTTTTTAAAATACTGACAAATATATTTTCCTGTGCCTGTATGCTTATGTATACATAAACATATATTTTTTAAGGCAGATGTTTACATTTTCCTCTGCCTAAAAGAAATTCAGTTTCAAGTGAATTATACAGTACTACAAAGTAACAACCATAAACAGATCTACAGTTTCATTACACTTAAGTACAGTTGGTTATAACTTCGTGTATCCCTCCTTCCTCAGTGGGGAAAGGTCATCACAGGAGAGTGATGACAGCTCCACCTAATTTCCAAGTGTCTGCTGATCTGGCCTTCAGAATCTTAATGGGAGGCATACAGAACAAATTGCATATGGGCTTACCCTAGCTTTAAAGAGGTATTCTTGTGGAAAACACCCAAACACCACAGGAAGGTTCTAGTGGATTTTTTAGTACCGGAGAGTGAACTCAAAGCCTTTACACTGAGCTACATCCCCTGCCCTTTTTATTTTTTATTTTTAGCCAGAGTCTCGCTAACTTGCCCAGGCTGGGGTCTAACTCAAGATCCTCCTACCTCAGCCTCCCAGAATGCTGGGATTGCACGCTAGGCTTATAATGGAATATTTAAATCATTTTTAAAAAATGAAATCCTGTTATGCTAAAAGGATGAACTATAGAAACATGCTAAATGAAAGAGGCCAGGTGCAAAAGGTTTAAATGATATGAAATGTCAAGGATAGGCAAATTTCCAGATTAAGTAGATTAGTGGCTGCCGGAGGACAGGAGGAGGGGGAATGGATATACCGGTTCATTCTGGGGTGATGATAATGTTCTACTTTTAGACAGTGGTGATGATTACACAATTCTGAAAATAAAATAAAAACCACTCCATTGGGCAGTTTAAAAGGTTGAGTTTGGGGTGAGGGATAAAGCTCAGTGGTAGACCACTTGCCTAGCATGCTTGAGGTCCTGAGTTTTAGCCCCAAAACTACAAGGGAAAAATAGTCTGATTTTTTTATGGCATTATATTATATCTCAATGAAATCGCTATTTTTTCCCCTGAAGGCATTGTTGACATTTTTGATAATGGATTCTAGAGAATGAAGAAACTGCTTAATGGTTTATGACTATACAGATCCCAACAATACAGGCCCATTCTTATACTCTAATGCCTGTTTAACTAGACTTTAAATGGAACTAAATATTTTACAAAGTTTACAAGATTTAAGCAGAAAGACTTTATCTTCTGTAGAAGGAAATTGTGAATTTAGAAATTAAAATTATGAATTCAAGGTGAATTAGACATAAAATTTTGTCACAATCTTGGGTTATCTTCGTCACATTACAATCTAATAAATGCAAACAATCCAAAGCACAAATCAAAAAGCCTAAAATTGTTTCTGAAAGGTTCCTTACTACTTGCTGTTAAATCCAGGTACTCTCGCTCAGCTGTCAAAACCCTAGAGTTGATTCGTGGAACAACATTTGGCTGGTTCATGATATACTCTACCACATCTTGATCGTGAGACAGTTCACCCTACAGGAAGAAAGAAACAGAGAGCAGTGGGGAGGTTAAGTGAATATCATCAATAATAATTCACCAGAAACTAAAACATTATTAGCTCTGTAATAGCTTCTTATGTGTTGACAACAGCTAAAGACAGAAGTTACATGTTACAGGTCCTTGTCATCACCGAGCATAGCTGGGTGTTCTATGTTATAGTGTCCCTAACTCTATTACCAATGGGAGGCACATGTTATTCATTTTAAAGATGGGGAGGAAAAGGATAATACAGAAAAGTTAAATAACTTACTCAAAGTCACAGAGCTAAAGGGATGTGAATATGAAATGCATATTCTCCTTATATGACTAAGTTTCCACACACAAAATCAAGCTCTGCTAATTACTTAAGGCTTAGCATGGGCTTGGGATTTAGCTCAGTGGTGCCACCACCTGCCTCACAAGCACAAGGTCCTGAGTTCAATCCCCGGGACAAAAATAAATAAATAAATTAAAAGACTTAGCATAAGCAGAATGAGATCTATTCATAGATACCTTCTTCCTAAAGTAGCACACCAAAGGTCTACTCACGAGCGTTCAAGTACTTACTGTAATAAAAATCACTCCAAGCTTTTTTCAAAATTAGATATTTGAGTAACCCATCTCCTAAGTCATAATCACCCTGGGGAAAGGAAGGCTCATTTGTTATTTATCTTCTCTTTTGTACATCTCAGTATTATAGAAATAGTTGTACTTCTTTAAGGTGATCTCAGGGGTAAATGTTAATAACTGGAAATTTCCAAACTGACCATAATTAAAACATTTAAAATAAAAGTGTATTTTAATGTCATTTTAAAGAGAAAGCTAGGACTCAAACATATACATTCAAACCTAAAATATTCCAATTAGACATTGTGTGCAACTATATACCCCAAGAGATAAGCAAATTCTCAAATGATAAACTAATAATGACCATATGAACCGGCCACACATCACAAAAGACACATGCATGCATGCATGCATGCACACAAAGTAGTTGTTTTTAGGAAGGAAACCTAACTAGTGAAGACAGAAACAAATGGGTGAAAGTTTTCCATTTGTATTTATCTACTTTAAACTAGCTAACATGTCTTTTGATATACTCAAAATTTAGGTCAAAATTTAAAATGTGCACTATGCTCTGACACCACAATTCCAATTCCTGATATTTCTCAAAAAATGTAAGAAGATATACATATTAGTGAAGGACTCTAGTTAGCAAGACAGACTCCATATTGCTGCTGAATGACTCACTTGCCTGCCCTTTAGATGAACTCAAAAGGAGGAAGCTTAGAAACCTCCTCCCCTTAGAGAGTCTCTTAGAAACAACAATTAATCAACTATTGTTTTACAAATGTTCTAATAGCAGGACTTTCTGCTTCTGTACCTTCTGCTGCTTTACTAGTTCTATCCCATAGGGGGGCCTAGAAACTGATGTCCTCAAAGGTGTATAAAATATGTTAATCTCCCCCCAGTCGAGGCTCCAGTTGGGTCCGGGCCGGTAATAAACTCCTGTGTGGATTTAATATCGGTCTCTGGTTGGTTCTTTCTCACTAGGTGCAACAATTAGAATACTCACTGTGTACATGAAAATACACAGACACACCTCTCTAGGGCTTCAGGAAAGAAAGAACTTTCACCCTTTAAAAAATATGTATATGAACATACATTATTTTTGTCAGAATATTTAAAATAAAACTTTTATTATCTACCACAAACCAAGCTTCTCACTGACCATACATGTAGAAGCAAAGGAAAACTAGCATTCAGTCACAGAGGGGCTAATATTTTTAAATGGTTACTCTTATAAATAACAAACATGTTAGTATCTGAAAAACAGAAAACAAAAACTATGCTGATGGCGTGGGGTGTGCTGGGAATAGCAACCAGGGCCACACGGGCTAAGCAAGTGTTGGAGAAAATTTAAACATTTCTAAGGAGACCAGTAAGTATTTTAACTTTTTTATATTACTTAAATACAACAAAATTAGTATTTCTCCTAGTTTGTTCATGGCTTTAGAAAACTAAGCCAACCTCATTCCAATGAAAACTTTGTTCCCATTCCAGCAGCTCCATAAAGGGGATGTGCAATGGAATTTGACCAAGGATTTTTTTGGTATGAATGCATTAACATGCAGCATCTTCTTTAAACAATTTCTTTCTGGCCTTTTTTCACAAATGATATTGGAAAAACTCTGTATCCACATGTAAAGGAAGGACACTGGGCCCTAACCTTATACAAAAATTAATTCAGAATGGATCAAAGGCCGAAAGAGGTAGAAATATAAAGCTCTTAGAAAACACTGGAGAAAATCTTCATGACAATGGGCTTAGTATCTAATTTCTATTCTATTTAGTATTCTAATTTATCTAATTTCTTAGCTAAAACACTGAAAGCCCAAAGAACAAAAGAAAAAATAAATTGGACTTCATAAATTGAAACTTCTGTGCACCAAAGGATAATATCAGAGTGAAAAGAGAACCCACAGAATGAAACAAAATATTTGCAAATCATATTTGTGATAAGGTATTAATATCCAAAATAAAAAACTCCTACAACTCAACTAAAATTAAAAAATTCAATGTATCAGCTCCCCATAATGAATAACTATAATGAGTAACTATTATGTTCTGCAAACATGTACTAATAAAAGATATATACTCCACATAAAATTGTGTATTATTTACAAATGAATGTGATATAAAATACATGAACACTGCTCATAAAGAAATGGGCAAAGACCTGAACAGACATTTTGCCAAAAAAGAAATATAAGTGGCCAAGAAGCATATGAAAAGATGCTCAAGATCACTAGTCACAGGAGAATACAAATAAAGTCACAATGAGATACCATTTTACATCCATTAGAATGCCTAGAGTATTGGCAAGGAGGTGAAGAAACTAGAACATCTGTGTGTTTCTAGTGGGAATGTACAATGGTGCAATGCTGTGGAAAATAGTTTGGCAGTTCCTCAAAACAGTAAACATAATATTACCATATGATCCAGCAATTTCACTTATAGGTGTATGGCCAGGATTGAAATCAGAATAGGAATAGATACTTGTATTATATCAGTAGCAAGATTATTCAAAATAGCCAAAAGATGGAAGGAATATTTTTGAGCCTTAAAATGAATGAAATTTTGATATATGCTACAATGTAGATAAGCCAGACACGAACAAGTATGATATGAATCCACTCTTACGAGGAAGAGGTAAAGTCATAGAGAAAGGAAGTAGAATAGTCATAACCAGTGGCTAGGGATGGGGAGACGATGGGGACTTATCATTCAATGGGTAGGTAATTTCTGTCTGGAGGGACAGGGATTTAGCTCAGTGGTTTCACCGCCTGCTGCGCAAGCTCAAGGACCCGAGTTCGATCCCCGGTACCAAAAAAAACAAAAAAAACAAAAAAAACAATTTCTGTCTGGAATGATGAAAAAGTTCTGGAGGGGGATAGTGGTGACCGTTACACAGGATTGTGACTGTACTAAATGCCAGTGGATCATATACTTAAAATGGTAAGTTTTATGTTCTGTATCTTTTACTACAAGAAAAATTTTTAAATATATATTTTGCCTTAGGTTATTATCAATGTTACCTGATATTTAAAACTATACTTGAGAATGTCATTCAGCAGAAATGACAGAGTAAAGATCTCTGAAAAGCTTCTCTTCCAAAGAAACTCTGAAAACACTAAAAATAAACAGTTAAAATCCACTTTCGAAAAACTCAAGAAATTAACTAAAGGTTTGTAAAATTCTGAGGGGCTTTTATTTACTAAAAAGTCTCAATCTCAGTCAGAAAATGGCTTTTGTAACATTTTAAATAGAAATTCTTGCCTACTCTAAATTCATGAACATTTTCCCTTATAATTTCTTCTTAAAGTTTTATAGTTTTAGTCTTTCATATTTAGGTTCATAGATCCTTTCAAGTTATTTTTATGTATGGAAATAAAGGGTTGACGTTAATTTTTTACATATGGATACCAGGCGTTTTAGTACCATTTGCCGAAAACACTATCTTTTCCTCAGCTCTTGAATTGAGTTTATGTTCTATAAAATGTTAATGTTAAATAATCTTTCAAAACTCAGTGGACCATATCTGTGTGGTTCTATTTCGAGATTCTCTATTTTATTCCATTGATCTATATGTCTTTCCTTACGCCAACACTGCCTTGATTACTGTAGCTTTAGAGGTAGTCTTAAAATTAGGTAATAAATGTCTTCCAACACTGTTAAAATGTATATGAGCCTGTTGTTGTCATATAGGTAGGTTTTCAAGCTAGGAATATACTTTAATAGGCGCTATTCAAATTTTGCATTTCACTCAGAGTCAGTTTCATTAATTTGTCTTCCAAGGTACTTTTTAGAAGTTGTCAAATTTATTTCAAAAAAGAGTTTTGTAATGTGCTTTCTATATCCTTTTAAATTCTGTAAAATCTGTGGTAATGTACTGTAAATTTTGATATTGTAATCAAAAATGTATAATTGATACTGTGTAATAGGAAGAAAAGGTCTAAAGGAGTAAGGGAACTGGGAGGGGTAGGGGAAGGGAGAGGGTAAAGAAAAAATATGAGAAAAGAAAACAATGGAAACAAAGTCTTTGCAAACAGGGAAAGGTGGAGGGGGTGAAGGGAGGGCAGAGAAAGGGGACAAAAATAAAAATCAAGAGGAGTCACACGGAAGATGCCGAATCACCTCGCTGCAGACAGGCAGGTCTGCCCATGCCCTACCGAGGTCCTCAGTCTCACAGAACACGACGAATCAGCCCGCTGCAAACAGGCAGGTCTGTGCATGCCCTACCGAGGTCCTGAGTCACGCGGAAGACACCGAATCACCCCGCTGCAGACAAGCAGCCACCTGATTCCACACTACAAAGACGCAGAGGACACCAGACCACCAGACCAAGGTACTGAGTCCCACTGTTCCCGGCCCAGAGGTAGCGGCTTCTGAGCCGTCGTCCCACTGCTCTTGGTCCAGAGGAAGGGGCTTCC